GGTATACGGCTGGGATCCTGCCATGGTATACGGATGGTATACGGACGGTATACGGTGGTATACGGGTGGCTTCCTGTAATTTGCTGGTTTTTGTGGTCCGAGTTATGCAGGACTGGGGGACCTGCATCACCAGCACCTTGCAGTAATTTGAAAAAAGTGAGTTTGATATTTCACAATTGTTTCAACTTACATTAATAGACTTTCGAGCCAAAACCCAGAAAAGTCTATTTAATAGACTTTTGTTTTTAGCCCGAAAGTTTATTGGTTCTTGGCCATGACAACTTGTTGGGAATATTGCATTGAATTAGTCTGGTGGTTTCCCGGCGGGCGCTCAGCTTGGTTGCCAACCCGAGAGGAAAATTGCCAAGCTTGGTATAGATGGATAATTTTCCACTTTAGGTTCACTTTCAACAAGTGTCCTGGGGACCCGGTTTTTTAGTATAGATGCGTTTATTCACTAGTACTAGTACACACTCCTTTATAGTGATGTGGTGAAATGAAATCTGATGGTAGCGGAGCAGAGCCTTTGCCTTTTAAACTTTTCATGGAGCCACCTGGCAGGCGTTGAATGATTCTGGGAAGGATACGGATGGGAACGGATGTGGTAGCGGAGAAAGGAAAGAAAGAGACCAAGGCCTCACTGACCAGACAGGTTACCATGTCAAATTAGCACATTGCAAAAACTAAGCGGTGAGAACCGCAGAGCGGTGAGAACCGCAGAGCGATGAGAACCGCAATGCCATGAAAGCAACTCAATGAGAGAAGCTCCCTTTTCCCCATCGCATTCGATCAACTTCGTGCCCTGGCCCAAGGATTGACAATCCTTACAGGGCAAAGGATCACCCTCGTTGCGCCCCTGCCTGCTCAGCTCCCCTCAGCCTGTCGCCGGGCAGCTGCAGCCAATGAAGCCAGACCAGACTCGCCAAGCGTTTCCATCAGCTGGTCCACCTTGACTTGGTCCTTCATGGCCTGCTTCAGTTCCCCCAAGAATTTCGAGAAGACCTCGTCAGTAAGCTCAAAGTCTTCGACCTTCTTCTCCTTGGAGATGGCCTGAGAAACCTTCTTTCGCATCTTCTTGGCCAAATCGATGTAAGCCTTGCCCGTGGCAATCAGCCCCATCAGCTCTGGAGTGCATGTCGACGACTTCTTTTCGAGCTTTGAGGCTGCAGTGAGTGGTGTCTGCAATTGCTTGATGACCTTGTCGGCGAGCTTCTTCTGCGCACTGTTGTGCTTCTTGATCAAAGACTTGGTCTCCTTGTCATTCTTGGGCTCTTCCAGCTTCCTTTTCTGGCCATGCTTGGAATCCTCACTTTCAGAGTCCATGCTCTTCAGGTCATCCTCGGAGTCCTTGTCATCATCCTGGTCCTTGGCAGCCCTGCGAACTTTTCGAGTAGCCGTCTGAAGCCTCTCGCGGACCTGCTCCATCAGGTGACTGTGGTTCACTTCGAGAACCCCAACTCGATATACCGTCCCAAACCTGGAATGAAGAAATCAAAACAAAGCCGGTGAGAAAAATATTGACGGGCGTTGTTATTTGAAGGCTTTGATACAAACAAGCCTGCAAAAAGCAGACAAGGAGCAAGGGATCTTGTCGCTGCTCGGCGCGCTCACGGATAGGCTGCAGGTCATACCCCTTTTTTTCGTAGACGGAGAGGGGCAAAAATTTGCCAGTGTCTTTCTTCTCGGTCAAGAAAACCTCCCTCTTCACCAAGCTTTCCTGTAGCAACCCCTGAAGCTTGGAGAACCGGAGTTTGCCGTCCGGGTCCTGAGCTCGAAGCTCACAAGCTTTGGCGTAGAAAGCCTGCTGCTCTTGGGCGCTCAAAGCGGAAAAGCCCGTGTTTGGAACATTGTAGTGCCGGTACAGGCTTGTGGTCACACTGTTGCAAGCTGAACATGTCAGCCCGCTGTGGCCCTTCTTTCGAACAACCTTCTCAGCCTTCAGGTTCACTGTCCGGTTGCACTTGACACAGTAACCTGCCTGATCGCCGAGGCCCTTCAGGTCGTCCCAAGCACTTTTGGCCAAGGCCAGGGTGGAGCTTGGTGGAACATACTTCACAATGGCCCCAGAGTTGGGCAGCAAGACATCAGTTTCCTTTTGCTCCACCTGGACCTGGGCATCGCCAGGCATTTGGCTGTTAGCCGAAAGAGGGCATAGATCTTCTGAAGGTGGCTCGCAAGGCGGCTGACCAAGATTGGCAATGTGCTGCTCCATTTCATCCATCTGCTGGGTGGCCATCTGGAAGACTTCAAGGCACAGGGGCACCAAATTGGTTGAGAGCGATTGCGGTGAAAACCGCGAACAACAAAATGGCTACAGAGTCGGCCAAACTCGGTCAACTGGACATCAAACAAAGTACTGCGTGAATGGTTGAAAGCGATTGCGGTGAGAACCGCGAACAACAAAATGGCTACAGTGTGAAGGGAGTGATGTCTACCAAACATCCAAAGAAGACTGTGTGATGGCACAAGCATTTGACGCGTTTCAAAAAGCGTAGAGGCTTCAAGAAACAAGTTGTCCTGGCACAGCTGCTACAGCAACTGACTAAACTATGCATCTAATCTAAGTGTGCAAACAGCGGCCACTTGCAGATGGCCTTTAATTGTGATCAATGTCGAAGAATACTGCGTTCATTCTTCGCAGTTTTTTTCTGGGAGGCTCAGGCTCAGGCTCAGGTTGCTCACGGGCAGCCTCGTCTGCTTCCCATTCCCGTCGCAAACGCACGGCGCGCTGCAGACGATTTGCAAACTGCTTGGCGCTGTTGGAATCCTATAGCGACTTGGCAAGGAAAAAGTACTATATTCCACTAACCCTATCCACCACAAGCCAAAACCGTTCAAAACTAGGCATTTCAATGGCAAGAAACTGATGCTTGTAGCTCAGCAATCCTTCCTTCCAGAAATTCGATGCTATATCGTTGGGCCAAGATGGTTTGAACTTGTTGCCATCGCGGCGGTGGCGACATCGCTCGGATGGTTTTTTGAGCAAAAACCTACAAATTTGCAACTTGGGACTTCATCAGGCTTCTCAGCAAGCTGCTTTAAAAGAAGCTGTCATGAAAATATAGCGTGAACAAAGGGCGCTGTTACGGTGTTTTCCCTGTCCCCCACTGCGGTTGGCCAGCAAAGGCTTTAGGTTCAAAGCGCCTGGCCAAGATGCAAATTGGAATCAAAAGAGTCACTGGCCGTTGCCATACTTCAGATCCCATTCAGCGCTGGCGGTCCGCGAGGCTTTGCGGGCGGCCAGCTTGCAAGCTTCCAAGGGTCGCTTCTGGGATTTTGCCAGATCGAAGGCTTTGTGGTAAGCGCGAGAAGTGAAACACTTCCTGGACATGTTCAGATTGGAGTGCGTCTCCTTCTTGGTCATTTTCTTCGCCGCCTTCTTCTTGCAAGAAGCCTTGGGCTTGGCTTTTGCTTTCGACTTGCTGGCAGGCTTTGCTTTGGCCTTGCCCTTGGCTTTTGGCTTTGGAGACTTCACATTCTCCTCGGCCGCAGCTGCTAGCTCTGATTGCAAAGCCTTCAACGAAGCCTCCACTTTGCCAACACCAGAGGGCTGTGCCTCTTGGTCATTCACTGCAGGGCTGTCATTGTCAGCAAGGGCCAGCGGCGTCTTTGAACTCGCAACTGTGGGCAAGACCATCTCAAGCTCAGGAGAGGCCTTGAAAGGCAACGCTGTCTTGGCAGTCTTGGGCTGCAAATAGTCGATGCGAGGCTCTTGCGAGCGATCGCTGCACCCATTGCCTCGCATCAACATGGCACCAATGGCTGCCAAGGCACTTTCAAAGCCATTTCCTGACCCATAGCTGGCGGCTGGTGTGCTGGAAGTCGAGCTGACCATCCGCAAACGCATGGACGCTACTGTAGAGAAAAACAAATCCGTGTCAATCGGTGGCTTGATGGGTTCCTCCTTTGCAAAGACCCTCTTGTAGTCTGAGAATTCCATAGGGTCAGAAGGGAGATCTTCCAACAAAGTCTTGGGTGGCTTTCCGCCCCCACTGTGCAAATACTTCTTGAACAAGGGTTTGGAAGCCTTCAACGCATGCCCTTGCTCTTGGAGAACCAAAGCCTGACCATCGCTGAGGGTTTTGGACCAATCACCCCAGTAGACCAAAGCAACCACCACAGCTATTGTCTTCTCACTTGGTGCCCACAAACCCATATTGGATAGATGCCTTGCCAATGAAGCCAGTGCGCGCTCACGTCGCCCATGATGACAATCTCCCAAAAGGAGAGACCAATGACTTTCGCACAGGTAATAAACAAGGCTTGTCCAGTCCTGCATGTTGGCCCTTCTGCTTTTCGACTCGGAGGGCAGATGGAAGTCATCTCCATCCGCTTTCGAAGTCAAACACGACATCAAAGTATCTTTTGTGGACTGAGACAAGCATGTGCTGCTGACCTGGGAAGAGACAACTGCTGCATCCTCCACAGTGAAACTCACCGTCTCCATGATCTTCAACAATTGCGCTTGCTGCTTCTCCTCCAATGCAGCAGCGTTGGAAAGGTGGCGAACATTCGACAGGAACTTGTCCGTCGCTGTGAGCGCCTTCTGCAAGGCGGCCAGTGTCATGGCTCCAATAAACCCCAAACCTGCAGAGCCAATCCTTTCAGGGCGGCACGATATTGCATGGCGGTGAAAACCGCACCATGGCGGTGAAAAACCGCATTATAAGGCGGTGAAAACATGGCGGTGAAAACCGCACCATGGCGGTGAAAACCGCATTTTAGAGCCGTGAAAACATGGCGGCAAAAACCGCAATGAAAATGGCAAACCAAAACAGTTATAAACACATATTATATGAACTGAGAAGGTTGGTTCAGCGGCGCAACTTTTGCCTATCAACCAATTAAAAAGCTGGTCGGTTTTCTATAGAAAACCGACCAGATTTTTGTGAAAAAATAACTTCAAAATAAGTTCAAAATAACTTCCATTAAGTTAGGGGAAAAATATTGAAACAAGTTCTTAAGTAACTTGTAACTTTCTGCAGAAGTCTTCAGAAGTTACACTACTTCTAGTATAGTTAGACAGGTTCTGAGCAAGATATTGAATTTGCAAGTGAGTTACAACCCACTTTTAAGTCCTCCTACTCCAAAGCACACCCAAGCAAGCACACTGCGCGTTACGACTGACCCGTCCACGTAAGGGTAGCCAGAGGTCAGGGTCTTCTCCAAGTGCCCATCGCAGCACGGCAAACCGCGGAACAGCTCCTATTTGAGATATAGGGGTTTGAGACAGCCACTTGAGAAAATCAAAAGAAGGCCCAAATGGCCATCCATTACTAGCTACTCTATTGGACAGATGGGAAACAGCACACTCGATTTCCTTGGCAATGGCGAATTGTTTGAAGTTTTCTAGGAAACGCCGTACTGCTTGAGAGGGAGCCTGCGGTTGATTGAGAATCCCAACAAGTAGGCGGATCTCATCAGGAGCAAGCTGCCGTTGCCAGTACTTCCAACAGAGATATACCTGCTTGGTATACGATTCTTCTGCGCCCTCTACTGCAGTAGGGAGGGAGCAGTGGCCTTGTCGGAGATAGCAGCCAAACAGGGAGACAGCATGCATGATGGCGGGATCAAGTAAGGGGCCAAGTCGTAGCCACCGGCGCAGACCAACTAGCTTTAATTGCGGGAACCAATGCCGCTTGAGCAGGAATTCCGACAGAGCCTTGTATAATGGGTGCAAAAGTGGTTTGGAGAAATATCGATGCGTTTGCACATAATAAAACAGGCTGAGCGAGAAGCATTAAAGTAGACGATCTTCGCATGGATACTGAGGTTGCCTTTGTTTCCTGCAAGCAGCCTCGTACGGAACTTGAGGAGCTGCTTGAATAGTAACGAGGGCATGGTGAGGCGCAGAGGGGCATATTCCATTTGTTCAGCATGTAGCTGACAAGCCCAGCCTGTGTGAATGGTAAGTCCTAAATTATCAGTGCTGGGAGCAATACATTGGGCACCCAAACCAGCACGGTCAACGTGATACAGTTGCGCTGCCGAGAATGCAGCACTAGTTAGTAACTGAGTTTTCGATCTACAATCACATGGGCTAGCCGCAAGTTGCAGCAATAATGGGTGTCCATTAAGCACCCAATCATGTGTTGAAGCTGATGCGTGTGATTTGGTTTTGCTTCCTGCGAACATCACTGTGAAGGGCCAACGAGTCATCTTGTGGCCTGAAAAAGGCCATGAATGGCTTGAGACGTGCTCCATTGTTGTGGTTCTTGGAGCTTCAGAGGACAATCCGTGACTTGGGCGGAGACGAGACCTTTGAATCAACGTTGTTCAGTGAAGGCCGACACTCAGTTTTTGTTGGTTCTGGTTAACGTTGACGACCTGCTCATTGCAAGCAATTGAAGAAGGTGAGAACTTCTTGTGTGCTCTTCAAAAGATCTGGAAGATCAAACGCACGGAAAGTGTTCCGTCTGGGAAGAAAGGACTCCTTGGATTCCTAGGCCGCGCAATCTACAGGCTCCACGATGGCGAGGAGTGTCTGTGTTTTGGAGTGTCTCGAAGCTGCATGGAGGGAATCTTCGTGTCTTGGGAAGAGAAGCTCAAAGAATCCACTGGTTCTGCTATGCCCAAAACTGGAGGAGCTGCTTAAAGATGCAGAGAAAAAGTTCGGGACGTCCGACCTGTCCCCCACGGAAGCCCAGCGCTACCGTAGGGTCTTGGGACAACTCGCATGGGCAGCACTCTCCAGGGTTTTTTTTTTGCACGGGTATGGGCGCTGTGTGCGCCGAGAGGGACAAGTCACCGAGACGAATTCAGATGAGGGGTACGCGAAATGAGCCTGACAAACACGACAAGCAGCACCAAACCAAACCCCAAAACCAAACACCACACCAAGCAAAACAACCACCAACCAGAACCAAAGGGGTCAGGCTCAAGTCCGTACGAGTCTAACAGAGCAAAAGGTGTAGATCCGAGGACCAAGACAGTGGTGAAACGGGGCAATGAATTCATATCAAGCCGCTCTCAGTAGTGGACGTCCAGGGCAAATCTGACGCAGTCTGCGTTTGGGCAGGAGTGTATTCCTTCAGCAGGGAGCACTCTCCAGGGCAGACCTTGCTTTTCCTGTTGGGTTTTTGAGCAGGTTTCAGTCGAAGCCCCATGTCCCCGCAGAGATTTGTCTTCGCAGCTTTCTTCGTTGGTTGAAGGGTCATTTGCATCATTTACAGCAGATGCCAGCTAGTTCACCACCCGTGTTGACTGAAGAAGGGGTCGTAGGAGACAGGAGGTTCC